ATACGGAAAAACCTAACATGAATATGGGTTAAAATTTGGACCCTCGTTAAAGAGAAAAATTTTAATCTCGACTATTAGAGAATTTAACCACAAATTCAAAAAGGTATCCCACGTCTAAATTGGGTTTCAATTACTCAAGTTATGGAATCTAGAAGTGCAGTTTTGGGTTCCCAATCTGAAAAACATTGGAATTACGGAAAAATCGCACATGAAAATGGGTAAAAATTTGGACCCTCGTTTAAAAGCTTATACTTGGAGTAGAATATTAGAAAATTCATCCAAAAATTCATAGAAGTATCTCACGTCAAAATCGGGATATAATTACCAAAGTTATGGATTCTAGACGTGCAGTTTTGGGTACCAAATCTGGAAGCCATGGGAACTATAGAAAAATCTGAAATAAAATAGGTTTAAATTTGGGCTCTCGTTAGAAACACATTTTAGCCTAGAATATTAAAGAATTTAATCACTAATTCGGGATCCAATAACATTAGTTATGAACTCTATAAGTGCAGGGCACAGGTCTAAGAATTTAATGATGATTAAAAATTGCTTTTAATTGGCTAGAAAATCGTAAGACTAACGCAATCCCAAGCATAAAAATGTAAAAGCTTTAATATAAATAGGCTTAACTTGTTTCGTTTTAACCAAGGATATTTGATCGTCTCTCCTTTGGCGCCAAAGCCACACACATTGTTGTGGGAGTGTAACGCAATGAGGGAGCGTGTGTGTGAGCCACAGACATTTCCGCAATGTATTTTGACTTGAGGAATTTGCAAGATGATGGATAATGGCATTCAATTTGCGGAATTGCTCGGCTCGAGTTCGATTCCTTGTGCGGCGCAGACTGGAGTGTCCTTGTCGGCTGTGTCTGGCTTAAATAGTTACGTCAATTAATTTACAACGCATTGTCAGTCCGTTGTCGTGTGCATTATGTATGATTTGTGTGCCGGGCTGCCTTTTGCCATCCATTTGGCTTCCCTTTGCGTGTTTCATTAGCTATGAGAAGGCCGGGGGGCACGCGTTTATGGGTCAACTGCTGTGACCTCGTTAGTGGGTTAACCCTAAACCTTATCCGCCTGCATTTCGATTTCGATTCAGGGGGAATGGAACGACGTCTCTTCAAACTATTTGCAGTGCTTTGCTAATTTTCATTGCCCCACTTGAGTGAATGGCATGTCGTCCGCCCACAGAAGCCCTTTTAAATATTCATGGGCCAGAGTTGAAGTCGAGTTAAATGACACCAACCAACCAACCCGCTCGCAGCCAAACGCTCTTATCAATTATCAATTAACCTAGATTTTAGCCTTTTGCGATTTTGGCACGGCCAATGACAGTCGTCCCGGGGATTTCCCCATGCCCCTCCTTTTAGCCAGGATGCCAGTTTGCCAGGATGTGTCATCTGAAGTCATCGTATGTGCCAGCCGAAGGCGGTGGAGAATCAGAATCAGATGCTCAACGAAGATGGAGCGTTTTCCAAACGGAAGCTGACAGCCGGCTTCGCAGGTGACTGGCTGGATAACTTTCTGATTAGTGTAAGAGCACTTTCCAGCTGCTGAGAGGTGGCTTTTGCCAAAAAGTTTTGCGGAAAATTGGCAAAGGGATTGATTTCAATTAAATCGAGTTATTGAAACTGAAACTTCCCGAATTTTCAAGCAATTTAAGAGATATTTTTAGAAATATTTCAAGTAGTTCAAGATAAAGTTATGAATGTGCGTCTTAAGGAGTTGTAAGTTACTAAGTTAAGGAAAGAATTCAATCTTTAAAAGGGTAAAATATAACCATTAAATGGCGTTGTTTTTTTTTTTTTAGAGGTATGATAAAGAATATCTGATGCTTAATAACTTTTAGCTAAATTGTATAGGAGTTCTGTGGCTGGTTTCTCTTTGGCCACTATATTTCGTCTATAAAAAAGTTCAGGTTGCCAAATATTTTGCCACAATTTGGTTTGGTGTTAGTTCTCAATGGGGTAGGAAAACAACCTGCCCGTCGAGCTATTACTTTGACCACGTTTATATGCGGGCGGGGAAAGTTTCCAGACCTCTTGCCACTGACGACCCTTGACAATAATCATTTTCATTACTGTAAAATGTCAACAGTGTCAGCAAGACCCCTCGAGCATCCTTTGCTCCTGTGAGCATCTTGGCTCCACTCGAGGCACAGGACATGTAGCTGAAATTTGATGATGCAGCAGCTCGAGCAGCAGGAGCAGAAAAACACCACCAGCTGCTGCTCCTGCTGCTGTGACGAGCTAAAGGATCCATTCTCCAATGCAGCCAAATCTAAAACAAACAACCCAACTACCCGAGCTGCGTTCTCAGATGAGTCGAGTCGTGTTCAACTGAACTGAGCTGAACTGAACCAAGCTCAGCTCTTTCAAGGCGAAACATTGACAACATCCCACTAGGTGCGCCCCGGGGCGACATTTTGCAGCTACTTTTGCTCCCGCATCCTTTCTATGCCCAGTGCCATATCCTTTGGCTATATCCAAAAAAAAAAAAATGGGAAAAAGGACGAAACGAGTAGCGACGTCTAGAAGACGTGCATTTGCTCAAGTGGAAATGAATTGAACTCGGGCAGCAGCAAAAGCAGAAGCAGCAGCAGAATGCAATCTCATTCTCTTGTCAACTTAACCTCGACTGCCAGGATGCCATCGAGTCGTCGATGACGCCCGGCTGTGCCATTTGTTGTTGCTGCCCATTGTCGTCGGAGGAGCAGCAGCCATTTGGAGACTAGGAAGCACAGTGGGTTCCGAATAAATGGGATAGAAATGGGAAATTACCTTTATAACAATTGGGAAGCTATCTAAGAGGAACCACTCTGAAATACGATATTTAAATAGCTTTAAATGGTCTTTGTTTTCAAGACAATCATCAAAACAAACTCATAAAAATATCAATTTAAAACTTTACAGTTCTTTGGTATTTTCTATTTCTCTCATGCAGTAACTAGTTTAATGGGTTTATCTTGTACAATTGGAATTAATTAGCATTAGGAGAAAGCAGTCAACAAATATTCTTTTTCACTTTCAATTTAACATGCAAAGAAGAAAACTGCCCCAAGTGGGAATACCTCTTTTTAGACTCTATAACCACTTTCGGGTTCAGTTTTTCTCTGTGCAAAGAATTGAACTGTTGTGAGAGATGGTTAGAAGATTTCTCAGCTCAATGGAATTTTATCTGCCTTGATATATCTCGGGGCGACCACTGTGTGACTATTGTTTGTGCGTCTCTGATGCTGCCTTTGCTGCTGCTCGATTTTTTCTTTAAACAATGGCCCGAACATTTTTGGTTGTCAAATGTTTGCAGAGATAACATTTACTATAGCGGATTTGCACTGGAGCGTAGGAGATGGCATTCCGACGACAGCAGGGCAAAATGGAGCGAGTGCTGTAAGCGTTGCTAAGCTGCCCTGCTCCTATTTCTCATCCAGAAAATGTATATATATATATAGTATATATACCAGGGTGATAGCATCAATTTGTAATGATCTTATAAGTGCTTGTATTGTGCCTTTGTCTGCTGCCATTCTTCCTTCCTTTCTTCCTGTGTGCGGTTTATAAACAAATGTCTCGGAAAAGTTTCCGCCAGTCAATTAAACGGCAATTAGAGAGACTCCATTGTGTCGGCATCCAAGTTTCGGGGTGAAAAATAAGGAGCTTAGGAATGGGTGGAGTGTCAAATTCACACTGCTCCGCATTTCAATTAAAATCCAATTTCCCTGCGGAAGTGCTTAATTATTGGTTATTAGCCAAGAGCTTCACTCAGTCAAGAACTCTTAACACCCGATTCTGCCAGATGACAAACAATTTCCTGCAAGTTGATCGATAGCTGCTATTGGCATTAATTGAATGCTCTTTGAATTTGGAAATTGGATAAAGTTTGGATGTAGTATTGGATCAATATCAATGTTGTTGCCTACTTTTATGCGAAGTTTGGTTACGTGCACGTGTTGGTAATACTGATCTGAATTTTACGCTAATTGAAATTGCAATCGAATTACTCGGCGAGCGAGACTGCGGTAGCGGGCATAAAGGCCAATGAAAATATAATCACATTTATGCAGTTTTTATGCCAGCAATGTAAATATTTTCGTTGTAAACATGTGGATGGTGAATGGTGAATGGCGAGTGCTCATGCCGGGAAATGGGAATTACGAGTATGACCGGCCGTCAACGACAGCCGCTGGCCATGGCTGAATAACCATAACGTCACAGGCAGAGAGATACAGTTGCAGATACAGATGCAGCATACAGATATAGTAGCATATATAGAGTGCAAATACAGATACAGATACAGTCTGCTGTGGTCCTGGCGCAAAGTCCTTTGGCTGACCGGCCTGCTGCATTCGTTTCCATTTCGAGTTCATTGAATTTGCGCAGATTTCTTCTTTTTATTTTTGTTTCTCCCTTTTTGAGGACCGCTTTCATGCCCCTGTGGATAGTGCTTTAATGAGAGCAATAAGAGCAAATCGTAGCGTGAAATTTATGAAATCAAATCCCCCATTTACAGGATGTGCATAAATGTATTTTTGATATAATTGCATTTTCCGCTTCGATGCCTCGCTGTCCGCTGATTGCGTAATTTAATAGTTTTATCCTGGCAGAATAATTGGTTTTAGGTAATATTGGCATGTGGACTTCAGCTGTTGCATTATTAATGCGAACTGAAGAGCAGCGTTTCCGCTTTTCGGCGGAAATCAACTCGGCTTGATATTCCCGTCACATATACTATATATACTCCTATGATAAATGATATGGCCCAGCAGATGTGTGCTTGTGCTTTGTGCGTTGATGTCACGTCCTGATCATTAATTATATGAACTTGTTTTTGCTCTTGTCTCTATTTGCAGTTCACCGAGCAGGCGGATAAAGGTAAAAAAAAAATACAGAAAATACAGGAAACCCTTAGTATTTACAACCGGGGCGTGTCGAAATTGACAAGCATAGCGTAATCTCCACCAGGTTTCGGTCATGATTAGTCCAGGAGGAGACCATCTGATGACCGTCTGACCTGATGCCCTGCCAACCCAACCAAACCACACGTAAGCCAGTGGCAAAGTAAAACTTTTAACGAAAACTGACAACCGCAATGACCAAAGTGTCATAAATCCATAAATCCATAACCGAGCGTCAACAACATCAACAAACAGTTTGTTGTACGACCTACGACATGTGACGGCGCTCAGGATTTCACACAGAGAAAAGACCGGGGCAATATATCAGGTTGATTTAGCTTATCAATTTGGTTATGCTATTTGGGTCCTTACCAAAAAAAATATGTGTATTCTTGTCAGTTTGATCAATATGAAGTGTTTATATGAATAACATATATTTTGCTATTTGTGCTTAAATCTCTAGAGATTAAATGGGAATAAACTTAGTGCGACCAATTAGGCAATTAAATATTTAAATAATCAAACAAGTCGGGTATTTATTTGTTTTGTTGGGGATTTGGGAGATCATTGAAAGCCCCAAAAAGAACACATTCAGAAGAAAGCTCTTCAAATAATACATGTTTTAAAAACAATGAATGCGGTGCCTAAAAGCAGCCTATAAGAAATATATTTAAACAATGCAAGGTATTTTGTTTCTTGCACTATTTTAAAAGCAATGTTAAACAATGTTTAAACATTATTAAAAACCCTAAAAACATAACATTAAAAAACTTTTAAAGTACCAAACCTTTTAAAAAAATCAAAAGGTGCCTAAAAGCAGACTGCAAAATATTTCATTCAACGAAATTTTGTATATCAGGGATTTAAATTAATTTCATTTGAATCAGAACTTAAGTTAAGGCAAATAAAAAAGATAGAGGGGACATTTATAAGAAGGTATAATAAATGTCGACTATACTTGAAACCTTTAAAAATATTATTAAAAATGAAAATGTCTTGTTAATCGCATAGTGGAATTCGTTGACAATTGAGTGGTTTTTTCTCGCAGTGCTAAATTCCAGGCCCTCGGGGGAGTGTCAGCTTGGCGGCCAATGAACTAAATAACCCTCAATCGGGGAGCTGAGGGCTATGAGGGAGGTCGACTCTAGACAGGCGGTACACGACACAGTAGCGGGCCAAAAAGCTCTCATGTCAACCGCAGTCGGCGGCCTGGCGGACTAACAGACAAACATATTGACGGCGATGGATTCGATGGTTCCCTGCCACTCGAATCTCGACTCGCGTCTGCCAGATAAAATGAAGTATATCACAGGCTCTAGTCGATGTGTGTGCTTGGATGTTTGGATGTTTGAACCGGGGTCATGTGTGTGGAAAAACAAAACACTTTTCAGCAGCACAACAACAACTTACATGGGGGCGGAACAATATTGTTTGTGTCGAACTTTATCGATAAGTTGTCGTCGTCGTCGTCGTTGTAGCTCCCTGAAAATCGCATCAGCAAAAAAATCAAAATAAAAACGCACAGTGGCGCATAAATTAAATTTCCAGTCGACGTCGACGCATGGCCATAAAAAATCATAAAAATATATTAAATTTATACGTAGTGCTTACACATAAGATCGCTATGAATTCATAAATTCCTGCCGAGCAGCCGCCGCCATCCTGGTGCTCATCCGCAATCCCAGCCACAAGCAAAACCATGGCCACAACCACAGCATAACAACGGCATTGACAGTTAAATGAATGACTATGGGGGCAATGCCGTAGTCGAAGCCGATGATGCCGATGCTATAGCCGGAACTAAGGAGAGTCCTCCTTGAGCTCTTTAGTTCCTGCTGCGGTGTCTGTGCACTGGAAAAAAATAGAATCAAATTGAATTCGATTTTTCTCCATACCAAACTGAAATTGGTTTAGTCCAATTTCTCAATGTCAGGTTAAGGCTCTAGTTATCTGTCATATAAATCTAACATGAAGGTTAATGCTTCGCAAAGGAAAGTTTTTTTTTCTTAATGGGATGTTTAATTTTACGAACGACAGTTATTTACAGAATCTGTTACCACAAGAACAAAATCTTTAACTAGAATTCTTAACCTTTAGTTAACACATGATTTGGAGAAATCATCCATCGTTCCATAAATAAGAAAGTTGAATGGTCTTTCTGTTTAAAGCAAAAAATAAAAAACTACGTTAAAAAATAAAATCCAAGAATTTTCGGGATATTATTGTTTAAATATTGCAATGTAATTTATAGGAACTTTAGTTTCCTACAAAAGAAATGATTATATGTAGCATTTTACAAGAACTTAAAGAAAAAACACACTGTTAATTTGTTGACACTTTCAAGCTGGCTTTTAGCTAACCCAAAAAAAAGTGTTAATTGATTTAGTTGTGTCGTTTTTAGGATCAGATTATGAGGGCTTAGTTTTTGGTTGGAGAAAAAAGAAGCCAAGTTTTTTTCAGAGTGCCATTGTGGATGTTGGTCCGCCTGTGGCTCGTGCTCCTCCATCTTGTTTTGCTACGTTTTGTTTGCTTGGGTATAATTTATGCAAATCTGTTAAAGTTTTGCCGTCATCGGGAAAGTTGCCGCTGTCAGTGGCGCTGCATAGTTTTATGCTGCTCCTCGGCAATTGTAGGGGGACCAAAGTGTATATTCAATTTGCGTTTGTCTCGTACGAGACTCGGGGAATTGAATTGAACACATCAAATCTGGTATTCTGATTTCGGTTTCTTGTTGTTTTGCCATGTGGTTCAGAGCAAAGAAATGCTAAACTAACCAAAGTTGGTCCAACATAAAATGCAGAAGTTTATGATTTGCATTTGATGGATTGATAGATATGTAAATATGAAATGGTTTTTGGTTTCTTACTGTTTGTCTTGGACATTAGAAGAAGTTAGAAGTTAGAACGGGAGGTGTTATATATAATATAATAATGAATTTACATTTACACAATGGGTATCCGTGTAGTCTATTTTGCCACTTTTTTGAGCCTCCTCTTCGTAACTTTTTGTTGCCGTCATTAATATAATAAATAAAATGGAATTTCCCGGTCCCGCGAACCCATGCATATATAAGTGCGTACAATAGTTTTACCGCTGTATCCTTGTTGTTCTTGTTTTTGACGTTGACATCGGAGCAGTTTTTCACCGACTTCGAAGAGGGTCCATGGGGTCTTAGGGCAGTTTTTAATGTTTTCATGCTGCCAGCAGTTGTTTGAGCTTTGCCGTAGTTTTCCTGAATAGCTCTTCATATTTATGCAAAGTTATGCGGCCTAACAGATAAGTCGGCAAAGTTTTTGCCCTAGCGAAGAAGGCCCTAGATAAGGTTTTTGGTCAGGATGAGAAGGATATCGGGGCGGAAAGCAATCGAATTGCAAGTCCAAGCAAAACTTGGGGCTTGATTTGCATGAAGAACAGATTGTGGTGTCCCATGATCCATGGTATTTCCAACAATATATCCTTCGGGATGGATGGGCCAATGCCAGTGCCAAGTTATTTATGTGCCCATGGTTCATGGTTCCTTCTGCACTGCACTTTTAATTTCACATGACAAACTGTTCCTTCCTAAGCCATTCTTCTCTGAAATGTGGGACAAACTTTGGCCAACGCTGCGAGTCTCTCTGGCAAAAACTTGTTCCACGTTGCGTATACGCAACAAAGGAACTGCCACAGGCCCGCAGGACTGACTGGCTGAATACTACTAACTAAAAAGAGCTCTTCTTGTGTCCCGCCCCAAAAACACGACCATCTGCCACTCTAGCTAATTCCAAATTATATTAAAAACTTTCGGCTGTGTGTTCCTTTGCCTCGCCTTTTCATTATCTAGTGGCCAACAAAGAGGCAGAGCCTGGCAGCAAGGATGAATATGAAAAATGGCTAACAAACTTCGAGGCTACCAGGCTGCAGGAATGAACTCTAACCAACTCTCTCTACCCAAAAACGCGACCCGGTTTAAGGTCCAACGCTATTTGCGTTGTCTGCTTGTTGCTCCTAGAAAAAATAAGTGAGGGGGTTGAACTACCCTTTTGGTCCTGGATGGACCCCCATTATGGGGTGAAAGGCATTCTGTAATTCGACACTGGGCCACAGTAATCTTCGGCATTAGTTGCACCGAACTTCATTTGCCCACTGGCAAGTTAGTTGCTCCGAGAAACTGCCACGTGACGCTTCGTCGCCCACTTTAGACCGGCCTGTGGCCACAGACTCCAAACGAGCTTAAGGATTGGCTACACAGGGAAAAAATAGCCTTTATTGGAAATGTATTGGGTAAAATAAAAGTTTCAAAATAATTAAGAATTTCAGATACCAAAGATTAACCGATTTATTTTGGGAATTGCTACAGAAAATATTTTCGTAAGATTTTTTAAATGTCGTAGAAATTCGGTCCATTTTTTTTCTTTTAGAGTCATAAGTGCATTTCAAAGTCTTAGAAAATTTTTAACTGAATTTGCCTTTAATTCGGATGAAATAAAATCAAAACTAAAACGGATTTTATCTGTGTCACATTAATATACACATTTTTAATATTAAAATTTAAACGGAAATGTTACATATAACACGTTGTTAAAAAATCAAAAACAAATTTTGGTTATGATTGACGTTTAAAAAGGTATTTCCAAGTGTTTTTTTAATAGTTATAAATGACTTATAACATTCTACGACTTATAATAATTGATGTAGGTCATAAAACGTCAAGTGAATGAGTATCAAAGTTGAATGAAAAAACTAAATGCTCGATGAATATTATAAAATGCCAAGCCAATTTTCAAGCACCTAAACTATGAAGTGTTTAATTAGTTTAATGTTTAAGGACCCTGCAAATGCCATTAAAAACCCTTGACTAGTTCCTGGTTTTTTTTCTTTATGTGCATGTAAACAAAACGACAAGGAAAAGCTTGGACTACGTGCCTTTCTCGCATTGATTTTCCACCCATTTTGCCACCCCTCTTGTTATTTTCCGCCCATTCCGACCTGTGCTTTTCCCCTTCATCCCCTTCTGGCTGGCAGCACTTGACTGACCTCTTAAATTCGTTTAATGTTTAGTTAGGTCGAGCTTAGGCCCGTGCTCCTCGGCTGACAGGTCTCGCTGACCTGGCGGCTCCCAAATTAATGGCCGGCCTGAAGTGCTCTAAATATTCCATTTTTTTTTT